AAATGAATTTAGTAGTGATTATGTTTAAAAAACATTCAAAAGTAGCAAATATATGGAATGAATTACCTTATAGCTCATTCGTTTTAGAATTTGTCCAGAAAACATTATATTATTTTGATCTAATGTGTCCTTTTCTCCCAAATGGTGGCTAAATTCTAGTAGGAGTGAGCTGAATATTAGCTAAGATACAGCAATAAATGATAGTTGTTCCTCATTATTCACACTAGTTACATTCATAAAGTTGCCATGAACACTGAATTAGTGAACACTTAACAGAGGGTCTTAGAAAATACAGGTAGGTTCCTATGAGCCTCTGGTCATAACATCTCCAGCCCATCAATACATAATCTTGTTTTATGTGTGTTTCTGTTTAAATCACCTCGTTTAATATTTCTTACCAATTTATTAATATTGAACTCACATCCAGCAACACTGTCTGGAGGTAGCTTACCTAACACATCTGTTTTTGCACATCACAGGCTTCTCACACTTAGGAACCCTACACAGCAATTTAGCACCAGAGTTAGAAGCATTTCAAACAAAACAATTTTCACTGCCCTGTGCAGGCCATGAAAGCACCACTAGTATTGATTTAGGGTATTACAAAATTTTGTTAATTGAGCAAATGTGCAAGTGCAGAATCCCCAAATAAGAAGGATATACTGAACTCTGACATGGATCAGCACTCATTTTGGATTGTATTTATTTCACTACTTACTTTATTGTACAGCATTCTACAGTCTGTCCTGTGATAGCCTAAAGAAGACTCATCTTTGGAACTTTGAACTTCAGTTTAATTTCCATGCTGTTCCTCTTTTTCCTCTTGTAGTTCTTTTAGTTCCTTTCTACTCCTCCTTTCTCTCCAAATTTCCAGCTGAGTAGGGGAGAGTGCTAGACTGCAGATCAGGAGATGTAGTAAAAATGTTCACTCTGCCTTTACCTCAATCTGGGATGGAGAACAGCTGGTTTGGCCAGTATAGGTCTGTTCCTTATCTGCACAACGACTGTGTTGTCCACATGATCTCTAGGGCCGTTCTCTGCTTTAAACTACGCTTCTGTTCATGCATCCTTCTTGAAAACTGTAGGCACTGCCACAATTTATACTACTAATGCAAAACTCATTCAGTAGTTTAAGCCATAGTAAGTTTAGACTATGCATCTGTAATCAAAAGACAAAGAAGAAATTGGATTTTATTCCTTATACTATTAGACATTTTAATCAGATGAAATTTGGTAAGCTATTAGACAAATCTTCCATTCACAAGTATGCTATGTACAAACAGCAAGTTAAACAATATAATCAAGAAAAAAGTTCCTATAACAATGGCAGCAAGTGTTTTGTGTGAGGAGAAAAAGAAACCCTTAGAAATAAAATTACCCAAAAAAATTCAAGTTAATATGAAACAAAGAAAACTAGAATAAATTAAAAAATATAACCTGACTGCCCATCAAAATATCATGTTAATAATTCAAATATTCATTCTTTATTCTAAAATTGATGTGGAAAAAATCCCAGTCAATATTTTAAAAAGAAAATTGCAAGTGACATTATTGAAACATAGCACAAAGATGTACTAATTAAAACATCATTTTCTGTCCATTACAGAAGTATGTAATAAATTTCTCATATTTTTGGATTACTTTTCTGTCTCTTTATACATGCACTATGTGAGACCATTTAGCAAAGATTTAAGAGTCAGAACACAAAGCAACTGTTACTTTATCTGATGACAGTAGATTCCTTTTTGGTCATTAGATAACTTAGCTGTCCACAGACCTTTTGTGGACTTGGAGCTAACACATAAAGATGTCATTAAGATGGTAAGCTGTGTAATACATTCAACTGTAAAATCCTTAATTTATGATTTATTTCTACATACAATAACCTTAGCTTCTGAGTTCTAAAAATATAGTGAGAAATCAGTTATAGCCATTTCCCTAAATAATCCCCATAGGTCATAGAATAGACCCAGTGGCAACTGATATTATTCAATACAGTAAGTCTATTAGCTTTTTTAAATGCAAAGAAATAATAGTTTTCTGCCTGACAGTTGGAAACATAAGTTCTTCATAGGAAAATGGGTATCAAAAGTCTTTAAAGAAAGAAGCGCATGCCTGTAATAGTAACTACTTGGCAGGCTGACATCAGGAGGATTGCAGTTCAAGGCCAGCTTGAAATAACCAGAGTATGAAGGACCAGAGGCTTGACTCAAGAGGTGGAGCACCAGCTTCATGAGAATGAAACTCTGAGTTCAAACCCAAGTACCACCAAAAAAAATAAGTCATTGAATGAATATAATTTTCCAGGAAGAAAAGGAAAAATCACTTGACGCAGGAGAAAATATAATTGCATGCATTTGGGCATGGAAGAATGCAGAGAATGTGAGGAGCTCTTCCTGATCCACTGAGGCAAGAGTGTGAGATACATGAAGGAGACAGCAGTCATTTGTGGAAAGGTGGCCTGGGGAGAAATTGGGAAGGATCCCATACACCAGGCTAAAGGATTTGGTCATTTTTCTCTAGAGGAAAGCCAATCTTCTTGAGTTGTTAAACAGGAGAGGCAGGTAAGATATAGACACCAGCCTCATGTGGAAAGAATTTCATGAGGAACAGAGTATGTCATTACCCTGTGGATACCTGAGCCATGATAGGTAGTTTCCCTTCCTACTATGTATGTACGTAGAGGTGCTTTGTAAAGGACAAAACACGTCATTGACAGTGATAGAAAGCATTCCTCGAAGCAGTTCTTCCTGAGTCAGGATGCCTGAGTGCACACTAGAGTCATAGAGGAGGCTGATGCTTGGCGCTCAGCCCTGGAGACTTAGATTAAATTGGGCTGATGAAGGAGCCTGAGCACTGGGGTCTTTCATAACTTGCCATGTGAGTCTAATGTATTGCACTAAAGCGTGAACTTTGGTGTCCTGCCATCCAGGACATCATTTTCCTTAAATGTGAACGTGCCTGAAATATGGTGGCCGTTTATAACCCTTGCACATGTTTAATTTGGGGATTGTTTAATTCCTCACTCCACAATGTTCTTATTAAATTTATGGTACATCTTCTAACCAGCAGTATCTCAGAAAGGAGGAAATGAGCTGTGTAAAACATGGTAACTTCTGAGTTATGTGAAAATGAGGAACATGTAGTTGACAGTAACCTTACCCAGCATGGCTGGTTTGTGGTTGGTTTCTTCGTCCTTTGCTGTGGTTCGCTCCCTCTTCTCACACTGAACTAGCTTCATGCTGTTTTGCCCCATAATATCTGCCTCTTGTTTTAGATCACTAAGTCTTATGTGTTTGTTCAACATGCATTCTCCAGTCTTGGAGTCTTTAGTCAACTGGTTTCTCCATAAGGTTTTTTTCTGACTATGTTCCATAAATTGTCTGTAGTGGTAGATACCTTCAGCCCAAATCTTAAGACACTGTCTTTTTATCTCTCTGGTTGTTCTCATTTCCTTGGTAGCTTTACTTCTGTAGGAGAGGGAAGGGGTTTACAACCCTTCCCAATTTGGAGTCATGGCTGTTCTTTTGTAGTCTCAGTCTGTCTCTCTTTCTCCCTGCCTTCCTCCCTTCCTTTCTCCCTTTTCCTCTCTCAGTCCTCAGCCTGTTTGCCCCTAGCTATTACAAGCACCAACCAAAATCTTGGAAAAACTCGAGGTTTACTGTGAAAGATGAAAGGAAGGAGAAATGGAAGGTAAACTTTTCAAGTGAGAAATGAGAACTATGAGAATCTTAAGAGCCCTAGGAGTGAGTAATGCCAGTGGGGAAACAGGCCTGACAGACATTGCAGAAGTGTTAGGATTGGTGTCTGAATTGATTTGTAATTGTTTTTGTATGTTGATATAGTTTACTTTTTAAAAACCAACATCCCTGCTATAATCAAAGCTGTGTGGACTTGAGATTGGGGTTCTCCTGCTCAGACAGTGGATATTTTATTAAATATTTTATAAATGAACTGAGTTAATGTGTGGAAGGATTAGTGAAGATAATAAAGTCACATATGTGATTTTCAATCATTCCTGATTCTCATCCACACACCCAATGACAGACACTAACAGTAATCAAGTTTGTAACGCAGACCTTGTTCAAATATTTACTTGAAACGGATAATCTTAAATATTTTAGTTAGTGATCACTTTTCCATTAGCCAATGACGTGACATGACTGCAGAAATGACACCATTAGGTTATATTTATACAAAATCTTACAGTGGTGAAAAAACACAGTTATTCCGTTGTAATAGTTTATATATTAACTGATGAGAACCCCATACTCTGAGAGTAGCACCAGCAAATTAGAACATATTCCAAAAATGACAACCAAAGTAGAGGTCATGAAATTTGAGGAGTGGTTCAAATGCCTGAAAAAAAAGCAAAGCACGGTGGAGAGGGACGGAATTCCAGAACTGGTGCTGACAAATTCGGTGGCTATGGGAAAGCCAGTTTATTTTTGCCCCAGGTTGGTCCATCTATAAACTAAGGGAAAAGGTTTCGTTGTTTTCGAAGTTTTCTTCCAGGCCTGCTATTCTAGAATTTTACAACTTCACTATTATGTGTGAACATGACAATTTATCCTCAAGTAATGAAGAGTTATTCATAGATAAAATGATACAGTTTACTTTTATAAGGTAGAATTCATCCTATCAGGTGTTATTTACCGAAGGTTAATACAGTGTAAAGGTAATCGTTTTTTAGCTATTACATTAGTGAAATAGGAATGAAGGTCTTTGCACAGTAGTGGCATTTTCATCATTGGGTAGGATATCACACAGGGAAAGCTCATAGGTTGGAGGGTGAACTTGCTAACACCTTTCAGGTATAGGGTCTTCTGCATCTCCTGTATAACATAGACCCAAGGTGCAGCCCCGAACCCAGTGTTCTGGCAAGCTCGTATGCCAATATTTTGAGTTGAATAAATGATTTTTTAATATCATGAAATAAGGAGGGTGGGAAGCATGGGGCACCAAAACTACTTCTCTTTGATTCGCTCTATCACGTTCAGCAGGTTCAAGGTCAGCTGCCGCCATTAATGATCCCTGTATTCCCTCCTGATCAACGGACACTGGCTGCAGCTGCCCAGCAAGGATTCCTCCTTCCTCCAGGGTTCAGCTACAAGGCTGGATGTAGTAAGTATCTCTGATTTTTAATTTGGGAGTGGGTGGAGGGCATGGCTTTAAGGTGGTCCATTTAATATTACTGCCACTCCAAGATATGAGAGCAACCATATAGCATTTTTGTTTTAAAGAGGAAACACAAAGACGGTGTGGAAAAGGACTTGTGTTGATATTTATAACAGTAACAGCCTGGATTATATTTCTGTGCTTCTGAAGCCAATATTTGCACTTTATAATTCAGTTTCATATCTTCTGTTTCCAGTGTCTTCTTAAAATTCTTAAAAAGAATTTAGGGTTCTTTTTACTTTTACAGAGATAGGATGATATACGCTTTTCACAGTTTTCCATTACCAAATGAGATAAGTTCAGTTGTGTAATATGAATTAGTTGGCCCTCTCCATTGTTTGTTGCCTCTGCATAATTTCTCACTGGTCTTACTTTACTTCTTACACCAAACTCAGCTCTGGACTTTGGACTTTTATCAACAGTGTTCCCTGCCCGTGGTGTCCTAAGCCTCTTCCAACTCAAGATGGGGAATGCCCTACCTAGTTTAGGTCCCTTTCCCTTGGTTGCTTGGGATCCTGTGTGACGTCTCTCTGATTTTAATTGTAATCTTTGTAAATATAGTGGCTGATTCTGTCTTATTCACTTCTATATTTCAACTTGTAGTGCAACTTTCAACCGATTTTGAATGAATGTTCACTATAAACAATATAAAGGACATGTTTCGCTAATAAGTTACACTAAGATAACTGTGTGGCTTACTGTCTTTCCATGTCTGTGACTTTTATGCCTTTTCCTCCTTTACCCAAATCTAAAGTGCGCATTGTCAGTTTTGGAAACAAACTTTAAAAATTGAAGTAGCCAGAATGCCATCTGTATTCTATTAGATAAAAATATTCCAAAGACAGACCAGACTTCTAAGCTAAATGTCTTTTGGAGTATCATTACTATGGCCAGAAGGAATGTAGATAAAGCAAGTTTACTGAAGTATTTTCATTGATAAAAGTAGAGCACTACTGAAAAAAGTTAGCAAGCTATGGTCATTTGGGATATTTATGTAGCCTATTACTTTGAAATTCTATTGAATTCCAGCTCTTGTGTATGACAAAAATTGTCCCCTTAGTATCATGCTAAGCAACTGCAAGTGAGAAACTCTGACTCTAGTCTGGTCTGGCGCCTCCTAGGTGATGTTTTGGATTTTCACCTGTAGGATTTTCATACTTATTCCTAGTCTTTAAGCTTTTCTCTACATCATCCTGAGGAAATAGGATATGATTTTTAAAATAATCAAAGTCATTTGAGATGAGTAGATTACGATTCTGGAGTTCAAGTACAAGTGATGGTGGTTCACTAGTATAAAAATCTGTACTTTTCAAGTTATTTATCCTTTACAGTTTTCATACTGATTTTGCACACCTCTCTCTTGACTTTGGTTTCTTATGTTTCAGAAATAATATTCTTACTCTGAAGCCTTAATTTGTTCATTTAATATTCTTGGCCACATCACTCTAATTTTATAGCACACCAGTTCATCCAGACATGCCAACTTTTTAAAATAATACACAACTGTATTGATTCTAAGTATTTTAAATTCTAAGTCTAATTTAAACTCTAAGAATGGAATTTTAAATTCTGTCACTACACTAAATTCTATGTTTTTAATCATAAAAGTTTTTTTTTGTTTTTTTGTATTTTGTTTCCATTTTCCTAAGGCTTACTTCTAACATTAAACACATATAGCTGATGTGTTTTTGGTAACCTAGGTTACTAAAATGAAAAAGACAAAGCCATTTAAAAAATCATTAGTTGCCTTTAATTTCATCTATAATATAAACATATAGCTTAGTTCTCTTTGCTTTTTTTTAAGCTTTGTTTTGTTTTTCCAAGAAACTACAGAAATAAGTCCCATTAGCAAATCCTGTGCTGAAGAGAAAACCACACTGAGTCTGAACAATGGCACAACTGTAGGCCTGGAAAAGGTCAAGAGCACTGCTTCCTTGCCCCCATGCAGCAGAGTTGGCATGCTAAATCTGCCCAGCGCTGATGTGAGATGGCACGGAGAAACTCCCCTCTCTAAAACTTTTAGTACATTAACCAGTAGATAGGCATACCTTCAGTGCTTAATGCTACAAGTGATAACACTTCTTTCTTGATCTTGGAAATAGAACAAAGCTTTTACTGTTGCTGACCAGCTTGAATCTGGCATCTTGCCAGACTCTAGAACTAAGCAGAAGCCAGGAGCCAAAGCAAGTGCCACCTTGCTGACACTCTGGCACTTGAGTCAGTTTCAGTGGGGAGCTGGGCAGATGTGATAAACTTGCTGGGCTATTTCCCACTCAACACACAGCAGGAAAGGAGGAGAAATAGGGAAAGAAACCCAGCCGTCAACTTCCTGTTGCTCCCCCCCCATAAGTGTCTACTTGATTTATCTTATGTCAGTTGGTTTCAGTTCTCAACGAAAAAGACTGATCAACCAATCTTTATTCTAGTTTCAAGTGAAAATTAAAAATACACTGTTAGTATCAAAAACCTAGAGGCTTTTCAGCAGTCCATTCATAAAGTACATTGATTGAAAACTTTGCTGTTTAGACTGTGTGTCTTGATAGAATACATTAAATAAAATCCTTAGGACCAAACATGAAAGATTAAATGTTCTCAGCAATGAAAAACATAAACTACAAACATAGGTTGAAGAACTTAACCATTGTAGACTGCATTAACATATCTTATTGTCAGAAAAAAAGTTTCTGCTCAGACATGGATATTTCTCCTTTACGAAGTACCTTGGCAGAAAATATGTCATGTAATGGAGGTGCACAAAATGCAAAATATTTGCCTTCCTGAACTGCTAGATGCACAGCACTGAATAATACTAGAATAGTTGAATAGCCACAAAGCCAGGGACTTTAGAGAAAACCAACTCGGTACATCCAAGAGAAGCTTTAAGAAATGTTATGGTCCATGCTTCACCTAGGAAGTGTGTTCATCAGTTTATAAATACTGAGATAGCAATGCCAGAATCTCACACTCTGTTTGGGCATTCATTATTAATGAAATCAAGCACAAAATCTCACATCTTCATGGGTGTGTGTCTGGTTATTGCTGTTCCTACTAATTTATTAAATCTAAAAATACTGCAGACTTCTGAGGACGTGAAAATGATGGGATATTAATGAATCTCTATGTGTGTGTGTGTGTGTGTGTGTGTGTGTGTAGAGAGAGCATTCTATCTATCTACATAAAGAGGACATTCCATCTATATCTATATGTGTATATATCTATTTGTATATGTGTGTTTATATATGTACATATATAGACAGAGACAGAGGCAGAGAGAGAGAGAACTTGAAAAAGTTATGTGAAAACACTAGCTTAATCAGTCAACATCACATTCAAGGGAAAAAATTGGTCAAATAGTCTTTCTTTTTAACTTGTCAGTTATATTAAAACTGTTAACTAAGTTTCTATGTGGAAACACACATATTTTCATGACACATAATCAAAAATTCCAATTCTAATTTATATTTCTGGGTAATAGCTCATTTGAATCAGAAAACAATGACAGCCCTTTAAATAAATTTGAAAAACACAGTAAGCAAGGCTTCCATTGTGAATTGTAAAATAATTGGGTGTACACACGAATGCGTTGTACATTGGGATGGTTGAAGAGTGCAAGGACACAGTCCGTTTGCCTCTGCTGGAAAGTCTGAATACAATCCTTGTTGGTTAACCAAGACTTCAACTTGTGAGCTGTGAGGCTTGTGTGAGGCATGTTTTTCTTTTTTAATAAATTCAATTGCAGAATACTTTTATGTTGTAAGGAAGATACCACTTTTGTACTTGCCATCTTAGGAAAAAATTCTACTTTAAAGTAGTATATTGAATGTGCTCATGGGCATATGCCCAAGACCTAAAAGAGCTTTTGAGATAAGCTGGTTGAAGGATTGTTTGATCAGTGCACCCTTCTCTCACCCTCACTCTGGTCCTCTCACCTCCACACACAGCTTGCTGGCAGCCCAAGCTCAGGTCAGCTCTGCTCCCCTGGGCACACATTAGAGTGGAAATGAGAGGGGTAGGTGCTTATTTTAGGATTGGTGACTGTGTCCCTCTGTGCCTCTCCTTTCTCTTGGGGTAGAAAATTTTCTGTCACATAAGTGTGATAGTTAAATGCTTTAGAAATTTTGACTGGGAGACATTTTATATGGAAATAAAAAATCTTCAGGAAAGTGAAAATCCAACCAAATAGCCTGTTTTCTAAATATAGTATAAAATAAAGTTGTGAAGGAGCTGGCTTGATAGTTTAGGGCAAATTATCAAGCCCAGTGTGTTAAATAGCTATTGATACAGAGTCTCCTCAATAGATAGGCACCTGTCTAATGCCATGGGTACCAAACTGTGTGACATGGTTACCAAGATGCTGTGGCAAATTCATTAGGGCTCATGAGATACTTTCTTTTTATTAAAAAATTTTTATTAGGATATAGTCATTATACAGGGGGACAGTCATAGTGAAAATTCTAATTAGACTTATATTGTACACTGGTTAGATCACCCCATCCTTTCTCCCCCTCAATCCCTTCCCTTCCCCAATTAAAGCAATTGCAAGAGATTTCTTTGTTCTATTTCTTGTATGTATATGAAGTCCACCAACCATATACCCTCAACCTTAATCTCCTTCATTCACCCTTCCTCTCCCACTAATATCCTCCCCCCGACACACTGTACTTATGTTACAGTGCTGTCTTTCATTATTAATAGTTAAGTTGATGTTCAAAGGGGTTTCTCAATGTATCCCCACCGTGGGTGTACTTTATTTTGGTCTGTTCAACCCCTTCCTTTACTCTCTCTTACCATTTTACCTCCCACCCACCTACCCCACCTTTCTCAACAGCTTTCAATACATATCCTTAGATCCTCTACCTCCACAGATGTTGTGTTTTACAGTATTACTGATGCTCTGTCATTCTCTTTTCCTCTCCCTCTTTCTCCAAGTTCCATGGAGTATTTCC